AATTCTTGATTCGGATGTACTTTCCATATGTCACCCTATAAAGAATATTTTACTGATATTTATCAAATTAATAGGGGACATGTAATAATGGGAAATGATTTTTCTTGCAAAATTAAAGGCATTGGAAAGATTGTTTTAAAACTTAAAAATGGAAATGTGCTGATCCTAAATAAAACTAGATATATTCCAAAATTAAAGAGAAATTTAATCTCTTTAGGAACTCTTGATTATGAAGGTTTTAATACAATCATAACCAAAGGAATTCTATCACTTCAAAAGAATTCTGCAAAAGTTATTCAAGTAGAAAAATCAAATGGTATATATGCTTTAAAGGCTATACATCTAAAGAATCAAAACATTGCTGCAAATGTATCCCTATCTGATAAATCTGAAATTTGGCATAAAAGGTTGGGACACATAAGTGATAAGAGCCTACATGTTCTTAAGAAACAAGGTGTTCTAGGAAAAGATATGATAGAAAGGATGTCTTTTTGTGAACACTACATATAGGGGAAGCAAAAGAAACTTCCTTTTTTATTGGAACCCATAAATCTAAATCCACTCTTGATTACTTGCATGCAGATCTATGGGGACTAGCTACTATGTCCACTTATTCTGGTTTTAAATACTATCTGTTGATAGTTGATGATTTTTCAAAGAAAAAATTGGGTCATACTTTTGAAAAATAAATCTGATACTTTTCAAAACTTTATCACTTGGAAAATTCTTGTTGAAAATCAAATAAATAAAAGTGTTAAAGCTCTTAGGACTGATAATGGCCTTGAATTTTGCAGTGAAGAATTTGATAATTTTTGTAAGGAAAATGAGATCTTAAGACATAAAAATGTTACCTATACACCTCAACAGAATGGGTTAGCAGAAAGAATGAATATGACCTTATTAGAAAGAGTGAGATGTATGTTAATAAGTTCAGATCTTCCAAAACTGTTCTGGGGGAAAGATATGAAAGCTACCTCCTTTCTAATAAATAAGTGTCATACAAAATCACTAGATTATAATACACCTGACTATGTTTGGAATGATCATCCTGTTGACTACTCCAAACTTAGGATTTTTGGATGTGTAGAATATGTACATCAAAATGAAAGAAAATTAGAACCCAGATCTATGAAAGGTATATTTTTGGGATATGGAGAAGGTGTTAAAGGTTACATAATTTGGCTAAAAGATCAGGGAGGTTATAAAGTAATAATTAGTAGGAATGTCATTTTTAATGAGATGGATTTTCCTTGTATTAAAGGAAAAGGTATTACAGTCACTGAAACTGATAAAAATAGATATTTCTTGCAATTTGAAATAACTACTAGGGACCCAAACCTTGAAAATGAAAATCATCTTGAGATCTTAGGAACAGGATACTGAACTTATTCCTGAACTGAACAACAAACAAATATCTTAGAAGATTACCATCTTGTTAGGGATAGAGAAAGAAGAGAAATTAGACCACATATAAGATATAGTGGACTTGATTTTATCACTACACTTGGTGTGCAACATTTTTTGGAAAATGAGCCTGAAACTTATGAAGAGGCTATTGAAGGAAAAAATGCAAAGCATTGGCTTTTAGCTATGGAGGATGAAATGCTTTCATTAACCAAAAATAAGACCTGGATTTTGGTAACTAAACCTAAAGGAGAGAGAATTATTGACTGCACATGGGTCTGTAAGATAAAGGAAGGTGACAAAAAGAATGGAAATGTTAGGTTCAAGGTCAGATTAATTGCAAAAGGCTTTAACCAAAGAGAAGGAATAGAATACAATGAAATTTTCTCTCCTGTAGTCAAATATACCTCTATAAGAATCTTACTTGTCCTTGTTTCACATTTTAATTTTGAATTAGAACAACTAGATGTGAAAACTGCTTTTCTCTATGGCAATTCAGAAGAAAAGATTTATATGACCTAGCTTAAAGGTTTTGAACAGAAAGGCAAAGAAAATTGTGTTTGCCTTTTGCAGAAATCTCTCTATGGCTTGAAACAAGCCCCCAGGCAATGGTACATCAGATTTGATACTTTTATTAAAGGGCTTGATTTTAATAGAAGTGAATATGATCCTTGTTTTTACTATAAAGGAAATGGAGGACCTAATGCTTATTATCTTTTGTTATATGTTGATGATATGTTACTTGTTGGATATAATTCAACTGAGATAAACAACATTAAACAAAAGGTAAAACAAGAATTTGAAATTAAAGATTTAGGTTCTGCCAAGAGGATTTTAGGAATGGAAATTAGGAGAAATAGAGATAATCACAATCTGTACCTTACTCAACAATCTTATATTTCAAAAATATTATGCGAATTTTCTATGAATGAAGCAAAAGAAGTCACTCAACCCTTAGGCAGCCATTTTAAATTTTCTACAAAGCAGTGTCCTAAAACTGAAATAGAAAGAAATAGAATGGAAAATGTACCCTATACAAATGCTGTTGGATAAATTATGTATATCATGGTTTGTACCAGACCCGATCTTGCATTTGCGATTAGTGTCTTAAGTAGATACATGAATAATTCAGGTGAATATCATTGGGAAGCAATGAAATGGTTGTTAAGGTATTTAAAAGGGACATCACATTTAGGATTAATGTTTAGTAAAGGAAAAACAGGGATAAAACTCAAAGGTTATGTTGATTCAGACTTTGCTGGTAATTGTGACAATAGGAAATCAACATTTGCATATGTTTTTACTCTAAATGTTACTTGCATAAGTTGGAAATCATAGCTGCAAAAATTGGTTGCCTTGTCATCAACAGAGGCTGAGCACAAATGCTATAAAGGAAGGAATCTGGGTGAAAAATCTGTTAAATGAAATTGGTTTTTCTGATAATAATGCTACTATAAATTTAGGGATCGCTTAAATCTCCTAAATATTGTTACTAATTAAAGTTTTTTTTTTCTTTTTGAAGGAAATATGAGCAAATGAAACCTAAAGAAAGAGTTATTCTCTAATCCACAAGAAATCCAAAATGTCAAGGAAGGGGGAGAATGTTGAAATTATGCTCGACGTTTGAGTGTTTTCGAAACCCAATGATGCAGCCCCAATAAAGTGGGTTTTTTTAAGAATGGTATGTGACCCAGTTTTGGCCCCTTGTGCATATCTCGCGTTACTTAAAAGCACGCCTTTGATAAATGGCTGAGATTGTGCCACTTTTTGCCGGCTGGACCGTTGGATGCAAGTGACCTTTTATATACCCTGACTTCTCCTTTTCTGTGGAATAATTCGAGAGACTTCTAGGGTTTTCGTGAGTCCTGTACTCTGTTCGTCCCTTCTCTGAAAACTCTTGATTTTCATTTGTAATCTTTGGGGTTCTAGGTGTTCTTAGTGAGATCTAGTATAGATTACAGTGTTCTTGTGATGATTCTACTCACTGATTGAGTATTTGGTAGAGGTTGCTTTAGTGTAATCTGCGTGGGTAAGAATTCGTGTGTTTTTCAGAATTTGAGAGCTAGATCTTTTAGATCTCTTGTGCTGTAATCCTTAAACACTTGATATTTTTGCTGGTTCTAGTGAATTGAAGCGATAACCACTTAAGGTGGATGCTCAACGTGGTGATTAGCCCTTTGTAAGTGAACATCCGGGCCAAAGGATGAAAAATTGTCAGTGTTCCTTTATTTTTCTGCTGCTATTTTGTTTACTTCAAGGACTGTAAATACCTACAGTCGAAAGCACTAACATAAAGGGAAGATAATACGATTTCAGGATAGCTGTCACCTTGACTTGACTCTCTAAAACTTGCTTTCTAATTCTCTACTTATATTTTATGTTTATGTTATTAATGAATCTTATGTTTATGTTATTTTAATTAATTATGTTAATTGATAAATATGTATACACAAATTATTCATTTTCCCCAATAGGAATAATTGGTTTAAAGCTACTATGCTACTTGAAATTTTGATGATACTTTGTGGGAGTTACATTATGATTAGATTCAAATCAAAAGATATTTACACCTTATGAATAAGTGTTGATATTTTGAATTTGTGATTAATATAATTTTGAACAACTGGGGGATTGTTTTATATTGTTCAACAATTATATTAGTTGGAAGAATTGGATAAATAATTAACATTGAAAGAAGAAAACTGATGTGAGATCAAAATCGGATGAAATTGATGGAGGGGCTAAATTAATCCGTTCGTTCGCATGGGCTATATGCCATGCGAAAGCATGGCTAGTTTTTCAAACAGATTGTTTTTACCATGCAAATGTATGGCCTATAACCATGCATACAAAAAGACACAACTTTTCATGGAAAGTTGGCACCAATTCTTGGATGATGAATTGAAAGCTACAAATAAGTGAGAGTTTTCAATTACTAATAATGACAAATCAACAATCAAAACCACATTTGAGTGCAATTGCTCCATATTCTCATACACAGTTAAACCTTGTTTGTGTTCATCAAGTTTTTTGGAAGAAATCACAAGTACTTAAGTATTTTCTTTTAAAAAAGCTTGTTTAATCATACAAACCATTTGCCGAGGATTAGGAATCCCTTTAAACATTCTAAAAAAATCTAGAGGAGAAAATACCGCTTGAGGACAACTATCACGCGTTCTAGCCTATTATTTTTGTTTTTTAAGTTTTCTCTCCTTCTCCTATTTATAATTATTTCATAATTTTCGGATTATGTTAATTAATTATATAATTAGCATTTAACAAAGAGTGTGAGTATGTCATTTGGACCTTTCAAAATAGGAAAAAATAATGGAAGAGGTTTTCAATTGAGACCTTCAACTTCTGCGCCAATTCTTGAATTCAAAATAGTTCTGTTCATAGAATATTTAGATTTATTAAATGCATTGGTGCGCACATAACAGCGTCTTATATAAATAGCAATCTAGTTGTGAGTCGCACTCGATTTTGGATTTTCAATTAAAGCTGATTTTATAGCATTTATACCAACATATAAAGATTTTCTAGTAATGAAGCCTGTTATTGATGCCAGGCTTCATTAATGATAAATACAGCTTTGACGTAAACATGAAATTAACCACAAAAGCAAAAGGAAAAAAATCTATGCGAGTGAAACTGCAATAGGACTTTGGACACTGTGGATTCCATCAAACCAGGTATACCACCCAAATGCATACTTGTCTTTCTCCATGCCTTTATTTACGCTGCTTGCTTTTACTGTGATGGTGAATGTCTTCATCTCGCCAACTTGATTAAAGAATAAAATTGAAGGTGAGACCGTCACCAAGAATCCCGGTGGTGGTTTAACTTTGATGAAATAGACACTCTTACTGCCGCCAACATTTGTGACTTTTCGCTCTACAGTAGTAGTGCCATTGAGTTCGGGAATGGCGAGGGACGGATAATTGAGATTAGAAGGAGAGGGTGGCTTTATAGGACACTTGAAGGAAGAATCCAGGTTCGTAATCCCAATGCTGCAGAGGAAAAGAAGATAGTCAGTGTATGATGCATCATACACAAGTCCAGGATCCGCTGCTTTTGTTGGCCTAAAATGACCTGATCCAAATTGGAAAGGATCTGCTGTCTTGCCAAACTCATCAGTTATTGGGTTGCCTAAATTGTCATTCAGTTCCGCTGCACGAAAAAATATTCAAGACGATTGGAAATAAGTGCCACTAGTATAAAAAAAAATGTTGGACATGATATACAAATGTACCTGTGGTTATCAGAGCCGATCTTATAGCAGCACTACTCCAAGTGGGATGTATGGCCTTCAGAAGTGCAGATGCTGCACCTATATGTGGGCAGGACATAGAAGTTCCTGATAGGATATTATATTTCACCATGCGAGGATCATTTGCTAGCTTCGTTAGAGATGAGGCTTCACTCCATGCAGCCAATATATATAGCCCTGGAGCCGTAATATCTGGCTGTCAAGTAAGCCATCAAAGTTATTTGTGTGCATTTTACTCATTCAGGATCCTATGTTGCAATAGTTAATTATGAATTGGTATCTCCTCTTACCTTGAGAATATTGGGTGAAACTGGGCTCGGGCCTCTACTGGTGAAGGAAGCCATGAATGGTGCTGGCTTGCTATCTAACTCTGTCGTAGCTGGAACTATATAGGCCATCGGTGTTTTTGTAGAATTGATGTAGTTGAGAATTTTGAGAGCATTTTCGTAATTGACACCAGTGGCTGGAAGAAAATGAGCATCAACTGGTGGTATAACTCCATCTTCTCTTCTATTTCCCAAGATGAAACCAATCCCACCAGCCCTTTTCACTTCCAAACCTTTATTCAATCTTGTTCCATTCCCTCGTAAACATAATACAATCTTCCCCTTTGCTGCCTCTGGTGAAAGTGAACCAGGTAGACATTGCCTTCACATTATCAATGTTCAAAATTCAATACACACAAATACAGAGAGATAAAGAGATAGAGAAAGACAGACGGAGGGAGAGAGGACCCGGAGGTATCTTTTGGCACATCAGCATTGACTATTTGGGCTGCATAAACTAGTTGGTACATCTTTTTTTCCAGATTATATGGAGTTATTGTTTGTCCCTGAGAATATTCACAGGAGAAAATGGAACTTAAATCAATGATCAACAGTATTATCAAATGATTTTTTCTTAGTAGAGTGCTTGGTTTACCTCAATTTTCATGCCATTTCCTAGCACAATAGGTGCTAAAAACTTCCGGTCGATGCTACTAGCACCAACTGTGATAATCCAGGGAGCCGTATTAGATAACGTAGCGGGTGCAGGGCCTGAGTTCCCGGCGCTGCAAGCCACCACTATATTTTTCTTGATCGCATGAAGCGCTCCAATGGCAATAGAATCTTCATAGAAGGGAACGGGTCTATTTGTCCCAATTGACATGCTCAATACATCAACACCATCACCAATTGCATCATCCATGGCAGCCAAAATGTCTTCCATAAAACACGTATTTCCTTCTTCTTTCCCCTGGTCCGGAATTGCCCAGCAGACTTTGTAGATAGCCAATCGGACAAGTGGTGCGCCACCTGAGGCAGTGCCACGGGCAAATCCACCCAATGCAGAAACATTTTGAACCCTTCGGCCTCCAACTGTTGATGCTGTATGAGTTCCATGTCCATCCTTGTCACGAGGGGACAGAGAATCCAATGTTCTGTCAAGAGGGCCGTACTGTGCCTCGTAACCCTTGATGTAGTATCGCGCACCTATTATCTTCCTGTCATAAAACGGTTAAAACAAGTGATTTTAGCCCTTAGATAACTGATTTTTGAATCTTCGGTGCTCATGTCCCGTTAAGATTCTACGGTTTGTCATATTGGTTTATGCTTTACAACTATACAATGGCCTGTAAGATAGAGAATGCCCATAAATATTTGGTCTAGTAAAATCACGGAATAATTGGTAGAGCCTTTGGTACAAAGAAAAAAATTAGTCAAATGGACATTGAAGGGATAGACGTTCACGTGATGGCATCGGGAGAAGCTATAGCTTGCCAAACTCATCAGTTATTGGGTTGCCTAAATTGTCATTCAGTTCCGCTGCACGAAAAAATATTCAAGACGATTGGAAATAAGTGTCACTAGTATAAAAAAAAATGTTGGACATGATAAACAAATGTACCTGTGGTTATCAGAGCCGATCTTATAGCAGCACTACTCCAAGTGGGATGTATGGCCTTCAGAAGTGCAGATGCTGCACCTATATGTGGGCAGGACATAGAAGTTCCTGATAGGATATTATATTTCACCATGCGAGGATCATTTGCTAGCTTCGTTAGAGATGAGGCTTCACTCCATGCAGCCAATATATATAGCCCTGGAGCCGTAATATCTGGCTGTCAAGTAAGCCATCAAAGTTATTTGTGTGCATTTTACTCATTCAGGATCCTATGTTGCAATAGTTAATTATGAATTGGTATCTCCTCTTACCTTGAGAATATTGGGTGAAACTGGGCTCGGGCCTCTACTGGTGAAGGAAGCCATGAATGGTGCTGGCTTGCTATCTAACTCTGTCGTAGCTGGAACTATATAGGCCATCGGTGTTTTTGTAGAATTGATGTAGTTGAGAATTTTGAGAGCATTTTCGTAATTGACACCAGTGGCTGGAAGAAAATGAGCATCAACTGGTGGTATAACTCCATCTTCTCTTCTATTTCCCAAGATGAAACCAATCCCACCAGCCCTTTTCACTTCCAAACCTTTATTCAATCTTGTTCCATTCCCTCGTAAACATAATACAATCTTCCCCTTTGCTGCCTCTGGTGAAAGTGAACCAGGTAGACATTGCCTTCACATTATCAATGTTCAAAATTCAATACACACAAATACAGAGAGATAAAGAGATAGAGAAAGACAGACAGAGGGAAAGAGGACCCGGAGGTATCTTTTGGCACATCAGCATTGACTATTTGGGCTGCATAAACTAGTTGGTACATCTTTTTTTCCAGATTATATGGAGTTATTGTTTGTCCCTGAGAATATTCACAGGAGAAAATGGAACTTAAATCAATGATCAACAGTATTATCAAATGATTTTTTCTTAGTAGAGTGCTTGGTTTACCTCAATTTTCATGCCATTTCCTAGCACAATAGGTGCTAAAAACTTCCGGTCGATGCTACTAGCACCAACTGTGATAATCCAGGGAGCCGTATTAGATAACGTAGCGGGTGCAGGGCCTGAGTTCCCGGCGCTGCAAGCCACCACTATATTTTTCTTGATCGCATGAAGCGCTCCAATGGCAATAGAATCTTCATAGAAGGGAACGGGTCTATTTGTCCCAATTGACATGCTCAATACATCAACACCATCACCAATTGCATCATCCATGGCAGCCAAAATGTCTTCCATAAAACACGCATTTCCTTCTTCTTTCCCCTGGTCCGGAATTGCCCAGCAGACTTTGTAGATAGCCAATCGGACAAGTGGTGCGCCACCTGAGGCAGTGCCACGGGCAAATCCACCCAATGCAGAAACATTTTGAACCCTTCGGCCTCCAACTGTTGATGCTGTATGAGTTCCATGTCCATCCTTGTCACGAGGGGACAGAGAATCCAATGTTCTGTCAAGAGGGCCGTACTGTGCCTCGTAACCCTTGATGTAGTATCGCGCACCTATTATCTTCCTGTCATAAAACGGTTTAAACAAGTGATTTTAGCCCTTAGATAACTGATTTTTGAATCTTCGGTGCTCATGTCCCGTTAAGATTCTACGGTTTGTCATATTGGTTTATGCTTTACAACTATACAATGGCCTGTAAGATAGAGAATGCCCATAAATATTTGGTCTAGTAAAATCACGGAATAATTGGTAGAGCCTTTGGTACAAAGAAAAAAATTAGTCAAATGGACATTGAAGGGATAGACGTTCACGTGATGGCATCGGGAGAAGCTATAGAATGTGAAATATATAGCATTTATTGAAGGGAGTATAAAGAAAACTCACATGTTACAGTTTGATGAGTTGAATTCATCTCCTGATTGGCAAATTCCTTTCCATGATGATGGATAGGGTCCCATTCCTTCATCACTGAAGCTTTTTGATTCTGGCCATATACCTGATGAACAACAACAAAAGTATCATCACATGCATGCAATCATGGCATATTTGATGTGCAATACTAGACTCGAATATTACGAAATTCTTATTTTATTCATGTTAAAGCCATCCAATGCTGTTAAGAAAGAAAAAGAAATTTATATATATAGTTCAATGGCAGAAGAAGATTACCACTATCTAGCATGCCAACAATAACATTTCGGCCATAGCTTGATTCCAGTAACAAGTCCTTCTTCAACTGAAACCCTGTACCTCCTTGTTGTAGACCGGAAAATTCCCATGACCTAGTAGTCTGCAAAGAGTACTTCGTTGACTGGCTCCGTAAAACAGACAAAACTTCCTCGATCTCTGTTTAAATAAATTACAGTATTGAATTAGACAAAAACACAGAGAGAGAGAGAGAGAGAGAGAGAGAGCGAGCTTGTGATGGTTCGACTCACCAGAGAGTTTGGAGGCTTCATCTGGGGTAAGCAATGCCGCGAAGCCATTGATGCTGGACTTGTAACTGTAAAGAAGAGAGGATTTAGCATCTTCTACAGTTTCTTTCACTGAGAATAGATATGAATAATGGTTTTCTTCAATTTCATTATGTGTTTTCTCTCCACTATGTTCTCCAAGGTACACTATGTACACCTGCAAATGACAGTATATTTAGTGAAAGATATGAAACTACATTAACTATATAGGTTTTGACATAATTAAGAATCAATTAGTAAGTGGAAATTAGAACCTGTTTCTCATCACAAGAAACCAGGAGAGGAAGAAGAACCAAAAGAAATACATGAAAATTCTTCACAGTAAAAGCCATGGAAATTTGCTCAACGTTGAACTGATACACTGCAGTATTTATAAAAATCTACTTACACAGAATCCTGCTTGAATAAGAAATAAATTCTTTTCAGTTTGGCAATGAACAACCTTCTTTAAAACATTAAAATGTACATGTTTAATATCTTTGACCAGACAGAATGGAGAAATGATAATTTGCTAATTTATTCCAATTGGAAATGGTATGGCATAATTAGCAACATATTGATTTTGCATAAATATAGTGATTTGTTTGGTTATACATTGAATGCATCTTCATAATCACAAAGATTGGTTTGATTGCATAGATTTAGTGAATTTACAGGTTATGCATATCTTAATTTTCAAGAGTATTGTGATTGCCGATTGGCAATTAATAAACTTTTTTCTCAAATTATAAAAGAATGGCTTGTTCCAATTTTAATGAAAATTAGTCATGATTTCCTTTGGAATCACCAGACCAAGATCACAACCAGATTGAATCTAGTCTAATTCTAGATATTATTTACATAATCGAATTTGATTCGATTCTAAAAATATTTTTATATTAATTTCTCAATTAAATAATTATTTATAGGAATGTATTCAGAATAATTAAATGATAAAATCAATAAAATTTATTTTATATTTAAACATTTAATTGATCTTATCATTTCATCATATATCACTTGTCATTTCAAGTCGATATCAATAATGCTAATCATTATTGCCTCTGGTGTTTAATTCGAGTTAAATTATACTATAATGAAGATGTGGAGAAATTAAAAATAGAGATGAAGATTTTGGAAGAATAGTTAATCAATTTTGGGAAAAATATGCAAATAGGCCATAAGTCGGGCCTTTAATTGAAAAATCAAGGCAATCGATAGATATAGCAATGAGTGAAATCCATTAACTTTTCCAATCTGTACCATAATTTTAATTAAATCCATTAAAATCTAGTTGTCCCCAATTGAAATTTTAATTACTTTCAATTAAATTCTTTAACATATATGTATCCTTAATAACTCTTGAATTTTATGAAGATTTCATTAATAGATAGATTTTGGTTAATTAGCACAAAATGTCCATACCTTTAAATATTGTTGTGGAAAAGTCATTACATTTCACTTTTTGACATTTTCCCCTGCTATTTGAACATTTCATTGCAAAAAAAGGTCATTTTGTTCATAAAAATGTAAAATGACAAATATACCCTTCTATTTAAAAAAGAAAAGAACCTCCAAACTTTTTTAAAATGATGATTTCACATTGTAATGTGAAAAAAGGGGTAAAAATGAAAAAAAAAAAATGAAAGGTAGGGATTTTTGCACAATAATATGGAAAGGTAAGGATCTTTTCTTCTAATTTTCCTTTTAATAATTTATTTAGACTCATTTGTTGTTTTTTAAAAAGTTTGAAAGTATAATTGTAATTTATTTTTAAATTTTTCTTTTCTTTTTCTTTGTTTTATTTAAATAGGAAGGTGTATTTGACATTTGGCATTTTTTATTTAGACAAGGATCGTTTCCACATTGAAAGGTGAAAATAGGGATGAAAATATCAAAAAATGAAAGGTAAGAACTTTTTCCTAATAATATTGAAAGATAGAGACGTTTTATTATAATTACCCATAGATTTTTTTATTGATTTTAAAACTCCTTCAAGATTTAGGTGTCTTCAATTGATATTTCAATGGATTTTAATGAATTTTAGTTAAATTAAAATTCTTTAAAATCTGGGCATCTTTAATAACGCTTATATTTGTAAAGATTTATTAACAGATGGATTTTTAATGGGCATAAAACGCCTTCTAAATTTAGACGTCCACAATTGAGATCTATCAATTGAAATTCATTTTTTCAAAATGTAGGTATCCTTAATAAGTCATGAATTCATAAAGACTTCATTAATAGATGAATTTTAAAACTCCTTTAAAATCTAAGTGTCCCGAATTGAAATTTTAATGGTTTTTAATTAAATCCATTAAATTTCAATTAAATTCTTTAAAATCTAGGCATCGTTAGTAATCCGTGGATTTATAAAGATTTCATTGATAGATGGATTTTCATAAATTTTAAAACTCCTTCTAAATTTAGGTATTTCCAAATGTGTCTCCAACTAAGACTTTATTGAATTAAAATTTATCATCGATGTCAATAATGTACCATTATTGATGTAATTAATCATAATGTACTATTAGTTAAAACTTTTAAGTAATGCTATGTAGCACAATTGATATAAAATATTGGTTTAGATGACAATTAAATGCCAAGAATTGATAGGACACT